AGACACTACTATATATGCAGACATTACATCCACTACACATTCACTGCATCCGCTACGCAGACACTGCATCCACCACACAAACACTGCATGCACTACACACACTACACAAAACACAGACACTGCATCCACTTCCACACACACAGACAATGTAGTCAACACACACACTGCAAACAACAAACACTACATCCATGACACAAAAACAGACAGCATCCATGACACACATCCACTGCATCCACTACAGACACACATAATGCATTCACAACACACACTGCATACACTACGCACTGTGTCCACTACACAAATAGACATTGCATTTACTACACACACTGCATAGCATGATGGATGTTGGTGTGGCATGCTTTTGGCATGGGGAGGGGCGGGACCCAGCTTTTTGGACCCAGGCAGCACTGCTCTGCCCTGCTCTGCCCTAACTCACCTGGGTGAGTTTCTATATATAACCCCTCAGGAGCCTTTAGTAGTTAAACAAATGATGTTACTTGGATTTTTTAAACTCGTACACCTGTCTTAAGTGACCAACAATGGTTTTGAGCAACTGTATGTTCACTTTAACAAAAACAAACAAAAAAACTGAATAAAAACGTATTTACAAAAATTAGTGACATAACACTAGGAGGCTCCCAAACACGGGTGTTTAACTAATTTCAGTATTGAATGAGGTTAGCCAGGATCCATTGTGAAGGGTCTCTACGTAAAGCCTATTAAAGTGCTGAAGTAAAATGAAAATTCTAACCCAAGATACAACTTATGAATACCAACTGTTACTCTTGCCTGATACACTTTATATTTCTATGCTGGCTTTCTAAGCTTTTCCTTCAAGTTCATCTTAGCAAGGTGTAGGTGTGAGATTTGCGCAGCGTGAAACCGAAAAAAAAAGGCTTTCTCCTGGTATTTCACACAGCATGCAAAACAATGGAAAATCCTAGCTTCCATTATCACACGATGAGTCAGAAGCGTTTCTTCCCACATGTTTTTTTGAATATGCCAATTTAAACTTATTAAGTGTGGAGAGGAAAAAGCTACAGCGCCAAAGCTTTCACACTAAACGCTCTCTATTTTGAATATTTTCCCTGCCTCATGTGTCAGTGTGCCTCCAACCAATGTAATATTAGCCTGAAACACATGAAATGTACACCCTTAACATGTACCTGTTATCAGTGATGGAACTAATCAAGAGAGGGCTGTGATGCTAAAATAAGCTTGGACCCCCTATAGCACGGGTGATCAAAAGGCAAAACCACAAGTGCTGTACACATCACACAATACTTTTCCAGCTGTGGATCTGCCATGTATTCATACCTGTAGTATTGTGTTTGAATGCAGTGCTTGTGTGTGAATGTAGGTATGGTTTTATATGGAGTATGTGTGCTTATGCTTTTGTTTATGATGCGGATGTTTGAATGCAGAGGTGTGTTTGTCTGTAGTGATAGTGTTTGCTTGCAGGGGTGTGTTTGAATGCGGTGGTGTATTTGTGTGTAGCATTGGTGTTTGAATGCAAGGGCTGTGTTTGTTTTTAGTCATAATGTTTGTTTGCAGGGGGGTGTTTGTGTGTAGTGCTGGCATTTGAATGCAGTGGTGTATTTGTGTGTAGTATTGGTGCTTGGATGCAGGGCTGTGTTTGTTTGTAGTGCTAGATTTTGAATGCAGTGGTGTAATTGTGTGTAGTATTGGTGTTGAATGCAGGGCTGTGTTTGTAGTGATAGTTTTTGCTTGCAGGGGGTGTTTGTGTGTAGTGTTAGCGTTTGAATGCAGTGGTGTATTTGTGTGTAGTATTGGTATTTGAATGCAGGGCTGTGTTTGTGTGTAGTGTTAGTGTTTGAATGCAGTGGTGTAATTGTGTGTAGTATTGGTGTTGAATGCAGGGCTGTGTTTGTAGTGATAGTTTTTGCTTGCAGAGGGTGTTTGTGTGTATTGTAAGCATTTGAATGCAGTGGTGTATATCTGTGTAGTATTGGTGTATGAATGCAGAGCTGTGTTTGTTTGTACTGATAGTGTTTGCTTGCAGGGCTGTGTTTGTGTGTAGTGTTAGCGTTTGAATGAAGTGGTGTATTTGTGTGTAGTATTGGTATTTGAATGCAGGGCTGTGTTTGTGTGTAGTGTTAGTGTTTGAATGCAGTGGTGTAATTGTGTGTAGTATTGGTGTTGAATGCAGGGCTGTGTTTGTAGTGATAGTTTTTGCTTGCAGGGGGTGTTTGTGTGTATTGTAAGCATTTGAATGCAGTGGTGTATATCTGTGTAGTATTGGTGTATGAATGCAGAGCTGTGTTTGTTTGTACTGATAGTGTTTGTTTGCAGGGCTGTGTTTGTGTGCAGTGTTAGCGTTTGAATGAAGTGGTGTATTTGTGTGTAGTACTGTGTTTGAAGGCAGGGCTGTGTTTGTTTGTAGTGCTAGTTTTTGCTTGCAGGGGTGTGTTTGTGTGTAGTGTTAGCGTTTGAATGCAGTGGTGTATTTGTGTATAGTACTGGTGTTTGAAGGCAGGGCTGTGTTTGTAGTGCTAGTTTTTGCTTGCAGTTGTGTGTTTGTGTGTAGTGTTAGCGTTTGAATGCAGTGGTGTATTTGTGTGTAGTACTGGTGTTTGAAGGCAGGGCTGTGTTTGTTTGTAGTGCTAGTTTTTGCTTGCAGGGGGTGTTTGTGTGTATTGTAAGCATTTGAATGCAGTGGTGTATATATGTGTAGTATTGGTGTATGAATGCAGAGCTGTGTTTGTTTGTACTGATAGTTTTTGCTTGCAGGGGTATGTTTGTGTGTAGTGTTAGCGTTTGAATGCAGTGGTGTATTTGTGTGTAGTACTGGTGTTTGAAGGCAGGGCTGTGTTTGTTTGTAGTGCTAGTTTTTGCTTGCTGTTGTGTGTTTGTGTGTAGTGTTAGCGTTTGAATGCAGTGGTGTATTTGTGTGTAGTACTGGTGTTTGAAGGCAGGGCTGTGTTTGTTTGTAGTGCTAGTTTTTGCTTGCAGGGGTGTGTTTGTGTGTAGTGTTGGTGTTTGAATGCAGTGGTGTATTTGTGTGTAGTACTGTGTTTGAAGGCAGGGCTGTGTTTGTTTGTAGTGCTAGTTTTTGCTTGCAGGGGTGTGTTTGTGTGTAGTGTTAGCGTTTGAATGCAGTGGTGTATTTGTGTATAGTACTGGTGTTTGAAGGCAGGGCTGTGTTTGTAGTGCTAGTTTTTGCTTGCAGTTGTGTGTTTGTGTGTAGTGTTAGCGTTTGAATGCAGTGGTGTATTTGTGTGTAGTACTGGTGTTTGAAGGCAGGGCTGTGTTTGTTTGTAGTGCTAGTTTTTGCTTGCAGGGGGTGTTTGTGTGTATTGTAAGCATTTGAATGCAGTGGTGTATATATGTGTAGTATTGGTGTATGAATGCAGAGCTGTGTTTGTTTGTACTGATAGTTTTTGCTTGCAGGGGTGTGTTTGTGTGTAGTGTTAGTGTTTGAATACAGTGGTGTATTTGTGTGTAGTACTGGTGTTTGAAGGCAGGGCTGTGTTTGTTTGTAGTGCTAGTTTTTGCTTGCTGTTGTGTGTTTGTGTGTAGTGTTAGCGTTTGAATGCAGTGGTGTATTTGTGTGTAGTACTGGTGTTTGAAGGCAGGGCTGTGTTTGTTTGTAGTGCTAGTTTTTGCTTACAGGGGTGTGTTTGTGTGTAGTGTTGGTGTTTGAATGCAGTGGTGTATTTGTGTGTAGTACTGTGTTTGAAGGCAGGGCTGTGTTTGTTTGTAGTGCTAGTTTTTGCTTGCAGGGGTGTGTTTGTGTGTAGTGTTAGCGTTTGAATGCAGTGGTGTATTTGTGTGTAGTACTGGTGTTTGAAGGCAGGGCTGTGTTTGTTTGTAGTGCTAGTTTTTGCTTGCAGGGGTGTGTTTGTGTGTAGTGTTAGCGTTTAAATGCAGTGGTGTATTTGTGTGTAGTACTGGTGTTTGAAGGCAGGGCTGTGTTTGTTTGTAGTGCTAGTTTTTGCTTGCAGTAGTGTGTTTGTGTGTAGTGTTAGCGTTTGAATGCAGTGGTGTATTTGTGTGTAGTACTGGTGTTTGAAGGCAGGGCTGTGTTTGTTTGTAGTGCTAGTTTTTGCTTGCAGGGGTGTGTTTGTGTGTAGTGTTGGTGTTTGAATGCAGTGATGTTTTTGTGTGCAGTGTTAGTGTTTGAATTAAAGGGTTTGTTTGTGTGCAGTAAATCACAATGAACTATTCTGGGTGCAGTGGGTACTTAAGTTTTGATCCTGCACATTGCATTTTTTTAGAAACTGTAATGTTTACATTGCTTGGTTAGATCCATCTCTAATGGAACCACCTCCAGCCACTAGAGGCGCTTCCGCCACACTAATTAAGTAAAACCTAGTCACATATTGCAAAAGCTCATAGGAAAACACTGAATTCAATTATATCCTATGTGAAACATATGGATGCATGCGCCATGTACATACATGCGCATCAGTTCCCAATGCTCCGCTGTGAGGAGCATTAGATTGGTCATTGGCTCAAGAGTCAGATGATGCCATGGGAGGAGGAGTGGCTGGCAGTGCCAAGGGAATCTCAGTACTGAGGTAAAGGTAAGTAAAAAAAAAAACAGCATGAGGTCCCGAGGTGAGTGTTTGAAGGGTTTTTGTTTTAACCCTTTAACCTCCGCAGAGGGAGCACAAGGGCGGGAGGGGGTGGCAGAGGGACACTATAGTATTAGCAATGCAGTTTTCTATTCCTAACTCTATAGTGTTTCTTTAAGGTTATAAATGGGGGGAGGGGTGTTTATAGTTTCTGACATGAAAGACAACTACTGAATTCTTCATCAAAAGCGATCTTAATGACTTTGATGCAAAATCGTCATAATTTGATCTTTGATAGTCTTATTCAAATCATTGTGCATATAAATAAAACAGATACTGCAGGGATTAAAAACCAACAGTCAGCCCCCATTCCCTTTCACTCACAGTATGCAGGGAGAATTTAAAAGAGAAAAAAAAGAGTATGATATTTTTTTGATTATTTCTCAATGCCCTGTCTGATGATGTGAAGTCATGCAGCCTCTGTACCCCCCTAGCACCTATATGTACCTATTGGGAGACATCATGCAGGGAGAAAGTATGATGATGCAGGAGAAGGTATAAAAGCACAGCGTTTAGGAACCCTGACTTCTCAAAGCCATCAAATCAGCAATGGGATTGCACTTGCAATTGAGTTGCAGTTGCCGAGAAGCCTTTATAGGTAATAGGAGTCCACCTCACACTTACCAGGGCTGCATTTTAAATGGGATTTTGAGCCTGTAGACAAATTTAAAAAAAAAAAAAAATACCCCAAAAACTATATTTTGCAGGCATTTACCTATTTTACAAAGTAATCTATATTGGCCTAAATTGTTAATTCCTTGGTAAATTTTACTCCAATGGCATCAAATTTATTGAAATGAAATTTCATGTAAATCACAAAGGGGTTGCATCAATTCCATGGTGCTAAAGGGGTAAGCAGAGAATCCCCACTTACCCATACAATTCTTTTAGCATAAGCCTAATGAAGAAGATAAATGTTCTCATAGAAAATCCTAAGCTTTAGGGTAGGCTTTGGGAGCTGGCAAATCCTCCAGTTCTTGTTAAACTGCATCTAAATGAGGGATTGCACCTTCAGTGCCTCCTTCGACACTGTGTTGCACTGAATTGTTGAAATCTTTTGAAAATGTTTAAAATACAAATGTTTTTATAGCTTTTCTACCTATTCATATGAGAAATAATGTTACACTTTTATAACTAAATAATGCATGTATTTTCCCTATTACTATTTAAGTCGAATTATTAATTTTTTTCCCATTAATATATTCTTATGACTGGGTGTAAATATGTTTTAGATCAATCTGTTAACAAAACAGACAATATTCTTTACCTTGATTGTACTCATTATGTTTCTGTAAATGGAAGCTTAATCTTATCAGATCTGGGACTGCACTACATTTGACATGTACAATGAGTAACACTGTCATAAATTATTTATATACTGCAATATATCTCAAATTGTCAGATATACTGCAATATGTCTTTTATCTTTAGTCTTGGTGCAACAAGCACTTTTTTTTTTTATTAGACAGAAGTTGTTGAACTAAAATTTATTTTTTCCCATATACAGCAGAGGTGACAAAATAGATAAATAAAAAAATGTCAAATTCCATGCTTATAGGACCCTGAAGGTATTACTAGCAGTGTACCTTACGCAAAATGGTAACATAATATAAAAAGAAAGTATGCATTTGAGCATAATGTTGAAATACAGTAAATAAAGCTAGATCATATATTTCTCAAATAAAGGTATTTAAAACTGCTACAGCAATCTTTCTCAATCTATGGACTGCTAATGTAATGCTGAGGAAGGATTTACTCCTTCCACCCCTTGACTGTAGGAATGCTATCACCCTGTGAAACTTCCTATACTGTTTGAAAGCAATGAGTGAGCTTACATTTTCATCAATTGTACAGGCATTATATCAATAAACCAGTGTCTTCTGGTAGATAAATTTGTTCGGTAATCATACCTAGAGTATAAATTAGGGTGAGTGAGACTAAATGGACTGAATTTCATACTGCAAAATATGTGAAAATAAAAATGTTATACTCAATTTTGGCATTGAAGTTAATCACTTCAATGCCAATCACATAAACTGAATACAACTGTTTTTTTTTTTTTTTTAATGCCATATAAGGTTTTTTTCTTGTTTGTTTTTAAGTTGATGCCATACTCCAGCTTTTAAGCAGAGATTCAAAATTATTATTAATACACAATATATACAAAATTTAGCATAGAACAGGTAGGAAATATATAATGAACATAACACGTGCCTTCTGTTTTGAGGTATGTAGAGAGGGATCTCTTAAAGGCTTGGGGAAGATTTTAAAGTGTTCAGGAGGTCGTTCCACAATTGCGCTGCTCTGTAGGAAAAGGAGGATCAGGCCGCTTTCTTTTTGTATTGAGGTAGACTAAATAAAGTGCTATTACTGGATCGGAGGTTATAGGAGGTGGGAACAGCTGTAAAGAGCATTCTGCTCAGGTAGGGTGGGAGCTTCCCAGAAAAGCTCTTAAACACAAGGCTGGAAAGATGAAGGGATTACAGCGACAACCAGTTTAGTTCTATAGTATAAAACAGTGGAAATACTAAAAATAATAAAATAAAATCTATACTGAAGACCTATCCCAATCAGCACTGGAGGGAGGTGTGATGTTTATTTAGTTTGTGTGTCAGTGGTCTCCACCGTAAAGTTCTAGAGAAAGATTAAGGGGAATGCAGACTCCTGTAGAGAGCAATAGCACTCATTCTAATTATATTAGTTATTTCAAAGTCCGTCCAGTTCTAGATTACAATTGGCTTTATTAATGCATTAAATATTTATAGATAAATATTTGTAATTATAGTATACTGATATACTGATATACTGATATCCTTACCTTTTTGTGTCATTTTACCCCACTCCCTCTAGCATGCAAGCTCATTGAGCAGGGCCCTCAACCCCTCTGTTCGTGTGTGTCCAACTTATCTGGTTACAACTACATGTCTGTTCGTCCACCCATTGTAAAGCGCTGCGGAATTTGACGGCGCTCTATAAATATCATAATAATAATAATAATATTTTAAATGATAACATATGGTACAAAACAGTTAATTGTAAGAGATGTTGCTTCATTATGTAGTTTACATATCACTGGACACTGAACAAACTGAATTATTCATTTCAACCCACAGAGTACATTTTTAATTACGATCACACATCAGATATTTTTCATAGATTTTACAAGCACATTTATTACGCATTATTATACCCGAGGGAACTTTTTCTTAACTACTTAATAATATCATTTCTTCGTCCGGTACATCTGCAAAACATATTTTGACATCTTTTATTAATTACCTTAACCTTCTGCAAGAGCCTTTTTTTCCATCAGCAGAGCAAAAATTGATATTGCTGTATAATGTGTATAAAATGTGAAACACGCCATCTAAAACGTGAAGCCGACAGTATGTAGGGAAAGCTATAAAAAATATACAACATAACGCTATACAGCTAGCTTTTTAACCTTTTCATTACCGAGTTCTTTGAAACTTAAAATGGCTACCTGAAGACAAAATATACTTTTCATATTTATACTGTTGTTTAAAAATATATTTATTAAAAAAAATAAAATTATTTTAATGTACAAAAGATTTATTTTTCATTTATTCATTGATGTGTTACAGAACTTTTGATGGGGGATGCTTTCTTTAAAATGTATCCAGAATATAAAATGCTTGCTAAATTGTACCATAAATTGAATTGTAATTTGTTACAAATGCCAATTAGTCAATTAAAATGTCTTACTAGATGGTAATAGCCCCACTCCAACCCCACCTCCCCCTCCCCCCCCAGACTACATGGAACCAATATATCCCCAATATTTGTTAGTGAAGTAATAATTTGCCAGGCTCCATTTCATATATCTAGTGTCAGTGCTCCAAATTATTCTAAACATTTCTATTTCCCTCAAACAGCAACATAAGGAATATATTTCACAATCAATATCCTCTATCCATTTTTTGAAAACCTTGTCCCCCATACCCACTGGCATCAAAGAAAGGCTTTAATCCTCATTCTTCATTGACAATTTTCTTCCAGATTCAGAGATATTCTATATATGGAACAGATATCTTCTGCCAATCCTATCTCAACGTATTAAAGCCTTTGACCAGGTACTCACAGACTACTGTACAAGTGGCAATTGGATCAGCGCTTAGAGACCAATAAACAGCAAAATACTAATAAAGTATGGCCGCAACCTAAGGGTATGATGTTCCCTCACAATACATCAACAAATAGTACAGTAGTAAAAAACAGAAAATAGGTTGCACCAAAATTGTAATACAATAATAGTAAAAACAGTATTAGTAAAAACAATGCGTACTTACATAAAAATTAGTAAAGATGGAATAAAGTCCTGAAAAAAATATAAAGGTAACAGTAGTCCAAGTTTGATTGAAGAGATAAGTAAGTGGAATCGATAGGGCTTGTGGGATCCAAAGAAATCAGGTATCCAGATGGTGTGGAAGCATGCAAGAGAGATAAATTCCAATAGTGTAAAACTGTACTGGAAAAGAGGATGATGACAACAAAAACAATCCTTGTCACTCACCTACTGTAGAGCTTTAGCCAGCTCAGAAGTGTATAGCATTCAGTGGCGTTGATCCCCCACTGGTAGGTGTGGTAGGTACAGGTCCTCGGTATGAAGAAGAAGATAAAAACAAATAGTGCTCTCTGTATATAGCAATAACGGATAAGAATATTAGAATGGTATACTACTCACATATAAGTGAGCAGGAATATACTGTCTATGTCTATATGTCTATGCACAGTATGAGGCCCTTCCACCACTAACATTACTCGTAGCAAGGCTGCAAACTATATATGTATATCTTACATTGTAAAAGTACACCAATCCTACATGTTGCACTGCATAAGTTACTAGTCAGTTATGACTGTGTATGTTTTCCTTGTTAGTTGTCCCAATTTTGTAATTCCTACTGTGATGAACTATCGGCCATGGCTGATCATGCACTCTCCTGATTTTAGTCACTCTAATAACATTGCATGAGACCTACTTTCTGTATGTCATTATCTGTAATTCCAAGGTATGACATTATGCATCAGTTAAAGTCATATGTTCCAACCTACTGAAGTTGTGACACGGATGTGGGATGTTCAATTTCAATGTCTGTAAGTAGATTCTATATGGGTATCACATTATAAAACCTTTGTGAAAAAATGCAATATTTAAAAAAGTGTCAAATGTAACACCCCAGTTTTATATTTTTGAAAGAATATACAAGTGATATTGCCCCAGGCAAATAAAGCCAACAAGAGCCGATGATATAGATTAAGAGGAACATGAAAGCAAGTGGGAAGGAGACCTGTTCAACTGCCAGATTGGTGTACTGGGTAAAGCCGGATTTGGGGTATTGGGGGATTAGAAGCCCCCAATTTTAAAGTATATCCTTGATGACAGTGACATGATATCCGCAAATATAAACAAGCCAGACTAGTTGAAAGAGGTATCCTGAGACTAATTGGAAGCCATTGTACCACTAATGTCTGCCAACTGTGGCTGTTCTGTGTCTTTCTACATTTTTCATAGGCAATTTATTTCCATTATGAATATCATAATACTGATATGTTAAAGAAAACCCAAAATCCTTGCAAAATACACACACACACATACAGACACACACACA